GGGCGGCGCGGCTCGGTAAGGGCGGCGCGGCTCGGTTTGGGTCGGGCGGCTCGGTTCGGGTGGCTCGGTTCGGGCTTGGCGGCTCGGTTCGGGCTGCTCGGGTCGGGCGGCTCGTTCTGGGCGGGGCCGTTCGAGGCCTCTAGGGGCGAGCGCGGGGCCGATCGGGGCTGTTAGGGGCGAGCGCGGGGCCGTAAGGGGCCGCTAAGGGCGAGCGCGGGGCCGATCGGGGCCGTGAGGGACGAGCGCGGGGCCGTAAGGGGCCGCTAAGGGCGAGCGGGGGGCCGATCGGGGCCGTTAGGGACGAGCGCGGGGCCGTAAGGGGCCGCTAAGGGCGAGCGCGGGGCCGATCGGGGCCGTTAGGGACGAGCGCGGGGCCGTTCGGGGCTGCTAAGGGCGAGCGCGGGGCCGATCGGGGCCGTTAGGGACGAGCACGGGGCCGTAAGGGGCCGCTAAGGGCGAGCGCGGGGCCGATCCGGGCCTCTAGGGGCAAGCGCGGGGCCGTAAGGGGCCTCTAGGGGCTAGCGCGGGGCCGTTAGGGACGAGCGCGTGGGCCGTTTGGGGCCTCTAAGGGCTTGAAAACCGAGGCGCCCTAGGGCGCAAGTAGGTAGGTAGGTAGGTAGGTAGTGGTGGGCCCTAAAAAATCGGTCCTGGGAAGGACCTGCTCTATACCATGTTGAAATCAATGAACAGGAATGATTGAACTAACAGTGAAATCAGTACAAGTACCTAACCCTAGAATTGTGTACCTCCTATAGGCTAACCCACTGTAGCCTAAACAAGTGCAACATATATAATGTTTGACACATCCGGGTCACCAAGCCGATGCTGGTGAACGATCACCTCCACGAATTCCGTGCACACCTCCACGCAGCCATTGTGGGTCCCGGGCCCTTCGAACTCCTCCAGCTCGTCCTCATGCAGCCTGAAGGTGAAGCGCGCATGACGGCCACCCGAGTCAACACCTTCGACTTTCATCTCCCGATTTCCTCCTGGCCCATGGCGCGTGATGAAGGGGGACAGCAGCTCGCTCACGCCGCCACCGGAGTCGTCGCCGGAATCCACGTAGCGGCTCTCGACGTGGGACATTGTGCGCTTGATCTCCGCATGCACGCTGGCATAGTCAAGCTGGACATTACATGGCGGAAGGTAGTTAGTGGCTTGTAACGGTTAACACACAAGATTATATCAGAATGCCCACTGGGAAAAAATAATAATGACAATTATAAGCAATCTCACCTCCTTGTGCTAGAACGCCCTGTTCAGAATGTTGAGCTGCTCAAGCACATCCGCAATGAAGAACAGAAGGTAATGAAGTTTGTAACTTGTCACAAGAGCATACGGCTTCACGTCCCACTCCTTAATCATCACGATGAGGGCCGGAAGCACAGCGACAAGCCTGAGCACTGCGTCGCCCCGTGAAAGCCAGTGGACGGAGTGAATGCCCTGGAGCGCAAGGGAGGTGGACGCAAAAACTTCTTGGAGCCCCATGTGTCAGAAAGAACGAATGGAAATGAACAGCAGAAGAGAGGATTGCACTAGCAGCAGATAGGATACATATAGCAAACCCTAATTTGGGTTGTACTCACTATTGAGTACCCCAGTGCAGACTAGACAATAACACATTCTGACACCATGATCGTTGGTGCCATGGCCCCGAACGGACGAGATGCTCCGCCACTGTGCGAATCACCATATCAAAGACATTGAACGCAGGAATCTTCTCGGCGGCTGTTTTAGCCGCCAGTGCCTCCCTGGACAACAAATATAAAAACGTTAGTATATCGGAAAAGTCAACAATCGTATAAAGCGCATTGCAAGTTCATGCAAAAACAGACATGCCTGTGTGCAATACAGTGGGATCAAACCAGATGGGGGATGCGCAGGCCGAGGCGTGTGGTGAGGCCGGACTTGCTCCTCATTAGGACATTGGCATCGTCGGTGCTGATCCTTGCGATGCGCTGAAGGTCGATCCCGACTGCCTACAGATGTGACAGCAGAACACTCAGAAGAGAAGCGGCGTCGGCCTTCTCCACGGTGATTAAAGCCATGAACTCCGTGACAAGCTTGTTGTCACAGATGAACGTGACGAAGAGGATCAGGTGCTTCCCGCTGCACCTATCCATGCTCTCGTCAATTGTGATGCCGACGACGGGCGACGCCAGCACGTGTTCCAGCTGGGTTGTTTGGAGCCATGTCGCAGTCGCTTGCGTCAGCTCATCGAAGCCGTAGCTGCATATGGAAACAATAGGGAGAACATTATTAAAGGAATATAACATTGACCTACTGTTGTGTATTAAATAGCTTCAAACAATTGTACTCACGTGGTGTAGTAGGTGCCGTACCCTTCTTCGGGAAGCCGGGCACACCCTTCTCCGCCAGGTAACGCACCAGCTTCACCCACATCCCCATGGGCACGTCAGATCTGCTGATGAAGAGCAATGAGTCGAGAAGGGCGACGATGCGCATCTTCTCTCCGTCCACTATGGCGCGATGCCGGTCAATTTGCAGTTGTGCCACACCGCACTCCTGCAGAGCTTGTTGTCTCGCCATCGCCAGCTTGTGCTTCGACGTGCTCGCGTGCTTACGAAAAGACAGGGTCTGCAAGTTAGTGGCGCCTTTCCCACGTCTCCCGCACTTGCCTCCGTCGCCAGCATGAGCTGCACAAACAGTACATTTCAAGGCAGGCAACCCCGAGGTGGTTTTAGTGATTTGAAGCCAGGGGAAGCGTGCTTGCCACTGACTCTTGAACTTGTCAATTGCATCGTTGTAAAGTCCTTCAATGAGCTGGGCCATGTTTTTGGTGAGGCGAGGATGCGCACGCTCAGACAACCCGGGTGAGTTGTTCACGTCGGCAGACGAGGATGAAGGCTTGGCGAAGCTCAAGGTCGCCTGCTTGAGCCGGATGGTTCGCGACGTGGTCTAAGTGGGATAATGCGATGACGAAGCGGTAGTTGGTTCCGCAGCAGTCTCTGCCATAGGGTCGGGATTAGAGATAACGGTTGCTGAAGGTTCCTTATGGGAGAGGATAGAATCGAGCTCGGCGCGTGCTGCCTTCTCGAGTGCAAGATGACTGAGCAAAAAAACTAAGCCTGTTAAGGCAGGCTGTGAATAAGGGTCGTCGTCATCGCAGGTAGCGGGATTGTTGGGCTGAGCCATGGCGGGGATCTGAGAGAGCCTGCCAAGCAGGAACGAGAAGTCAAAGAGGCTGCTGAACTGGGCACTAGATGGGCCCAGTGACTTGAAGCTGAGCTGAGGGGTGTGGATGAAACCCTAGCTCGTTGAGGAAGGCCTAAAACACGCATGGGCCATCCATGAGTTCGGTGGGTGGTTGCCTAGCAACGAGGTGCGTCTGCTGTGCAATGCTGGGAGGGATCCACTGGTGGGTGGATGTTGCAGCATCGTGTACCACGATGCTGCCTACAAGACCAATTAAATGCTCTGGGTGTGTGCCCACAGGTCTTGGTGGCACCGTCTGCTTGCCATCACCTTTACGTGGGTGGCAACTGCTACAGCATCTTGGACAGGGGTGGTGGCGGAGTTCGTCATGGCAGACAAAAGCTGCCAAACGCACCAATCAGTGCTCAGGGAGGGTGTGAGCTGGAGCTTCCACCAAGGGAAACAACACGCCGCACGGCAGGTGAAACATCCAGCTGTACGAGGGAAACATCGGGCCGCAAGGCGGCGTCGCCCAAAGAACTTAACAGGTACCGTCAGCCCCCGGATAAAAGCGCCCCTGGGGTTATAAAGAAACACGTTTTTTTTTTTGGTGTGCTTATAATTGAGGATTTTTATAAGCGCCGGTGCTTGTATAATTGCATACATGAAATTCGTCGTTTTTCCACCAAACTGTAGATCCCGTTCTTGTGAATTGAATCGAGTCGAAATTATTCAGGGCTATGATCGAGAATCTCGCGTGCAAGTTGGCAGGGATTGATTCCTTGCAAACACACACAGTCAGAATGAGTCAACGTGCGCCTCTGACAGCTCATTCTGACTGGACGCGCTGCCAGTGAGCCGAGCGAGGGTGAAAGGGCATCGAAATTCAAAATGTGGGAATGGAAATGTTGAGCTTCGTTACAACGATTTCAGTAAAAGTATAACTAAAAAACAAGAGGGTGGCGCTTATAATCTGTAAGCCTTCAGGGGCGTGCTTATAATCGAGGACCGGATATAAGCGCCCTCATCCTGTTATAAGCGCCGGCGCTTATCCGAGGCCTGCGCTTCTATCCGGGGGCTTACGGTACAATGTACCACCGCTAATACTGGGCGTCGGCGCACAGGTACATTCAATCAGAGTCGGTACTCGTTTGTGTCCGAATTCATCAGAGTACACTCCTTAAAAGCATATGAAATTTCATAGTCAGCTGATAAAAAAAATCAGATTTTTACATCCGGGGGCTTACGGTACCATAAGCCAATGGATGGAGTTATGTTCAGCAGTCACTCACACTTTTGCATGAGCACATTATAAGCAAAGTTGTATTCGCTATAGTTTTACCAATATCTTTGTAACGAGACTCACTTTTGCATCAATTGACCCTTGAATTTCGGTCCCTTGACCCTCGCTCGACTCACTGCCAGCGTGTCTAGTCGGAATGAGCTGTCAGAGGCGCAAACTGACTCAAGTCTAACTGTTTGTGTTGGCAGGGAATTATTCCCTGCCAAGTATCGCGAGATTCTCTTTCACTAGCCTGTATAGTTTCGACTCGATTCAAAACACAAGAGCAAGATGTACAGTTTGGTGTAAAATATACTGATTTCATAAATGCCATTTTATAAACGCCGGCGCTGATAAAATTCCTCAATCATAAGCGCACCCCCTAAAAAACAGTGTTTTTTTATACCCCCAGGGGCGCCTCTATCCGGGGGCTGACGGTAGTCTAATCGCATGCACAGAGAACCAGGCGCTAGAATGCTAGAGACCTGCTTCCTACCCATCTGCACACTGCCTCCCAAACAGTGCCTGCTGTACTGCCATGACAACACTGTTGCCTACCTGAATGCACACTACCAGCCCCTCCCGCGATACCACGGGACAGGACCCCATCAATGTCACAAATGAGGCAGCAACAGCCCACACAAGCCCACACCAGCGCACACCACTCTACACCACTCCGCAGCAGTCCACAGCAGCCCCACCAGGAGCACTGCTGTCTGTTCCACATGCTCCTCGCTCGCTGCGTGCGCCGGTGGCAGCGTGCCAGCAGCATGCTGGCACAGGCATCCGTGCAGCATGCAGCGGGGCAGTGGACCATGCAGCGACGCACTGGGGCATGCAGCGGGGCAGTGAGGCACGCAGCGGGGCAGTGAGGCACGCAGCGGGGCAGTGAGGCATGCAGCGGGGCAGTGAGGCACGCAGCGGGGCAGTGAGGCATGCAGCGGGGCAGTGAGGCATGCAGCGGGGCAGTGAGGCATGTGCCACACGATGGCAGTGACAAGCTCTGGGGCCAGGCAGCAGCGGGGGTGACGGCGGCGATGCACAGGTCAGAGTGAGAGGGTGGCGGACAGGGAGGGGTGGGAGAGCGACGCGGTGGCACCTCCAAACAACATGCGCTGCCGCTTCCTGCGCCGCCTCTCCTGGCGCCGCGTGAGACACACAGGCGAGGGGGACACGGGCAAGGCGACTTCCCGGCCGCCACCCACAGGCACCGTGGATGGCGCGCCCACAGGCACCGTGGATGGCGCACCCACTGGCACCGTGGATGGCGCGCCCACAGGCACCGTGGATGGCGCGCCCACAGGCACCGTGGATGGCGCACCCACTGGCACCGTGGATGGCGCGCTGGGCCCCGCTGCTCCCTGCGTCTGGCCCGGCCCCACATCGCCCCCTTCTGCCTCGCTGTGCTGCCCTCCTGCCTCGCGGTGCTGCCCTCCTCCTGGCTCACCCCCATGTCTCGCAGCTTCCTCTCTTTGCCGTCTCCGCCACTGCCTCTGCCGCTTCCTCTTGCGCGCCTTGAGAGCCGCGCTGCAGGCGGCTCTGCCAGCCCCGCCAGGACTGAGGGGCGCCACCACTGCACCGCCTCGCCACCCGCCATCCCATCCAGCTGCTGCCTCCCCATTGCTGGCCCCACTGCCATCCTCATTCTCGTCCGCGCCCCCCTCAACCTCCCCCTCCTCCTCCCCCTCCACCTCCCCCTCCTCCTCCCCCTCCACCTCCCCCTCCTCCTCCCCCTCCACCTCGCCCTCAATCTCGCCCTCCTCCAGCTTGCTCGCATCAACAGCCCCACTCATCCCATTCATGTGCTCCTCGCTCTGCCCTCCTTCCTCACATGCCTCCCCCCCTTCCCCTCCCTCTCCCTGCGCATCCCCCCCCTCCCGCACGCTCCCACCCTGTAGTTGCTCCTCCCTCGCCCCTTCCCTCCCGACCTTCCTCTCTCCTTCCCTCTCCCTCTCCCTCTCACTCTCCCTCTCCTTCTCCTTCTCCCTCTCCTTCTCCCTCTCCCTCTCCCTCTCCCTCTCCCTCTCCTTCTCCCTCTCCTTCTCCCTCTCCCTCTCCCTCTCCCTCTCCCTCCCCCTCTCCCTCTCCCTCCCCCTCTCCCTCTCCCTCCCCCTCTCCCTCTCCCTCTCCCTCTCCCGCTCTCCCTCCCGCGCCACGTCCGCCATCTCCTGCACGCCCCTCCCCTCAACACGTCTGCCCGACCGTGCTGCCATCCACTCGCCACCTGCGCCCTGCACTGCCTCACCTGCGCCCTGCACTGCCTCACCTGCGCCCTGCACTGCCTCACCTGCGCCCTGCACTGCCTCACCTGCGCCCTGCGCTGCCTCACCTGCGCCCTGCACTGCCTCACCTGCGCCCTGCACTGCCTCACCTGCGCCCTGCACTGCCTCACCTGCGCCCTGCACTGCCTCACCTGCGCCCTGCACTGCCTCACCTGCGCCCTGCACTGCCTCACCTGCGCCCTGCACTGCCTCACCTGCGCCCTGCACTGCCTCACCTGCGCCCTGCGCTGCCTCGCCTGCGCCCTGCACTGCCTCACCTGCGCCCTGCACTGCCTCACCTGCGCCCTGCACTGCCTCACCTGCGCCCTGCACTGCCTCACCTGCGCCCTGCACTGCCTCACCTGTGCCCTGCACTGCCTCACCTGCGCCCTGCACTGCCTCACCTGCGCCCTGCACTGCCTCACCTGCGCCCTGCACTGCCTCACCTGCGCCCTGCACTGCCTCACCTGCGCCCTGCACTGCCTCACCTGCGCCCTGCACTGCCTCACCTGCGCCCTGCACTGCCTCACCTGCGCCCTGCACTGCCTCACCTGCGCCCTGCACTGCCTCACCTGCGCCCTGCACTGCCTCACCTGCGCCCTGCACTACCTCACCTGACGCGCCGCCACCAACCTTGCCGTGCCCGCTCCCCCCACTGCCACTTGCACCTCTGCCATCTCTTCCCTCCCCGCCGCCCGCATCCTTCATTGTGACTTCATCTCCTACTTCTCCTCCCTTTTCGAACCCTTCCTCCATTTCCTCCACACTTGGCTTCCCTCTTCCCTCCTCGCACTCTTCCACTCCTCCCTCTTCCCCTTCTTCCCCCGGTCTCTCTCCTCCACTCTCTCCTCTCTCCTCTACCCTCATCTCTCCTCCCTCCGCTCCTCCCTCCCCACCTTCCTTCTCTATAACCTTCACTTTCTCCTCTTTTCCGCCCGTCGCCCCTCCCTCCAGTCCCCTCTCCTCCTGCCCCACCCCTGCCAATCGCCCCACCTCCGCCCGCCGAGCCGCATCACCCCTCCCTTCAGCGCCTCCCGCACCGCCCTCTCCATTCTTCTTGCCGCCTGCGTCTGTCTCATCAACTCCCTCCCCCCCTCCCTTCCCCTCGCTGCCGTCACTCCCTTCGCTACCTTCACTCCCCTCGCTGTCATCCACCACAACCACATCCTCCTCCCCTTCCCCCTCCCGATCCCCCTTCCCTTCCCCCTGCCCCTGTTTGTCCTCCTCCCCCTCCGTCGGCCCCGCCAAAGGCCACACGCCATCGGAGCTGCACGCCCCACCGCCCTGCTCTTGCGTCGTCCCGCCCTCCCCAACTACCTCCACCACATCGCTCTCCTCCCTCCCCTCCACCTCCATTCGCTCCTCCATACCCACTCCCTCGCTCTCCACTTCCATCCTCTCAATTCCCTCCTCGCGCTGTTCTGCCTCCACCTCCTCCTCCATCTCCTCCTCCATCTCCTCCTCCTCCATCTCCTCCTCCTCCATCTCCTGCGCCTGCCCTACCCCCCCCGGCTGCGCCTCCTGCTGTCCGCCATCGACCGCTGTCTTTGCCGCCAAGTCCTCCTCCCTCATCCCCACATCACCAACATGCCCCCTTCCCCGCGCCACACCCTCTGCCCCTCCTCCACCCGCTCCACCCGCTCCCATCCCTTCCATCTCCGCGCCACCTTCCACCTCTCTCTCACCTTCCACCTCTCTCTCACCTTCCACCTCTCCCTCCGATTCCTCCGCCCCCTCCGCTTCCTCCTCCCCCTCCGATTCCTCCTCCCCCTGTGCTTCCTCCTCCGCTCCCTCCGCTTCCTCCTCCCCCTCCGATTCCTCCTCCTCCTGTTCTTCCTCCTCCCCCTCCGCTTCCTCCTCCCCCTCCAATTCCTCCTCCCCCTCCGCTTCCTCCTCCCTCTCCGATTCCTCCTCTCCCTCTGCTTCCTCCTCTCCCTCCGCTTCCTCCTCCCCCTCCGATTCCTCCTCCCCCTGTGCTACCTCCTCCCCCTCCGCTTCCTCCTCCCCTTCCGCTTCCTCCTCCCCCTCCGCTTCCTCCTCCTCCTGTTCTTCCTCCGCCCCCTCCGCTTCCTCCTCCCCCTCCGATTCCTCCTCCCCCTGTGCTTCCTCCTCCGCTCCCTCCGCTTCCTCCTCTCCCTCCGATTCCTCCTCCTCCTGTTCTTCCTCCTCCCCCTCCGCTTCCTCCTCCCCCTCCAATTCCTCCTCCCCCTCCGCTTCCTCCTCCCTCTCCAATTCCTCCTCCCCCTCCGCTTCCTCCTCCCCCTCCAATTCCTCCTCCCCCTCCGCTTCCTCCTCCCTCTCCGATTCCTCCTCTCCCTCTGCTTCCTCCTCTCCCTCCAATTCCTCCTCCCCCTCCGATTCCTCCTCCCCCTGTGCTACCTCCTCCCCCTCCGCTTCCTCCTCTCCCTTCAATTCCTCCTCCCCCTCCGATTCCTCCTCCCCCTCCGATTCCTCCTCCCCCTCCGATTCCTCCCCCCCCTCCTCGCCCGCACTGCCCGCGCTGCTGCCAGGCGAGCAGTGCAGCCCCGCCCGCCCAGGCAAGGGCAAGGCCACCTCCACCACGTCGCTCTCCTCCTCGCCCTGCCCCACTCCTTCGCCCTCCATTCCATCCTCCTCCTCCTCCTCCTCCTCCTCCTCCTCCTCCTCCTCCTCCTCCTCCTCCTCCTCCTCCTCCTCCTCCTCCTCCTCCTCCTCCTCCTCCTCCTCCTCCTCCCCCTCCTCTTCCTCCGCCAGCTCCTCCAACTCCTCCGCCCTCACCTCCCGCACCCCCAGCTCACCCAGACCGCCCCACGCCGGGCTCGCTGCATCATCGCCCGCGCCACCCTCCCACGCTCGCATCCCGCCGCTGCGCTCATCATCTTCCGCCTCCGCCTCTGCTCTGCGCGCCCCTCTGCCCGCCTGCCCACCACCGCGGCCCACCAGCAGCAGCCGCTGCCGCCTCTCGCGGCGCCAGCGCGCGTGCGCCACGAGGCGGGCCTCGCCGGGCGTCATGTGGGGGTTCTGCCGCCGCACGCGCCACGCCTCCCGCTCCACCCACTCTCTCATTGCCGCCCGGTCCACGCCCGCCCCCGCCCTCCCTGCCGCCGTCGCCCTCCTGCCGCCCGCACTAGTGGGGTGTGCAGCGGTGGTGGGTGCGGCAGGGGGGGCCGGGCGGGGGGCGAAGAGGTGCTGCTGCAGGCGGGGGGAACGCCGCACGCGCTCTGATGGGGCCGAGGGGGCTGAGGGGGGAGTGGGCGTTGCTGTGGGGGTGGGGTTGGCTGTGGGGATTAGGGTGGCATGGAGTGGGCGTGGTGACAGGGATGGCTCTCCAGTACTAGCAGCACCCCATGCAACAGCACCCCCTGCAGCACCCCTTGCAGCCCCGCCACTAGCAGCAGCAGCTGCAGCAGAAGCAGCAGCAGCAGTGGCAGGCACGGACGGCGGGGCAGCAGGAGGACGCAGGGCGGGCGAGGTGGCATCGAGAGGTGGCAGGGGCGAGCGCGGAGGCGCTTGGGTGGCTGCGGGAGGAGGTCTGGAGGACGGTGCAGCGGCATGGGGACGCGGCAAGGAGGGAGGAGCAGGAGGGGCCGGGCGGGAGGGCGGGAGGAGGCGGTGGGGCGAGATGGAGGCGAGGTGGTGGGGCGAGATGGAGGCGAGGTGGTGGGGCGAGATGGAGGCGAGGAAACGCAGCTCTGCAAAGGGCACGTCTAGGGGCGCTCCCTCTGCCATGCCATGGCGATGACGTCACCCACATGCATGCACACCCACATGCATGCACACCCACATGCATGCACACCCACATGCATGCACACCCACATGCACGCACACCCACATGCATTCACACCCACATGCATGCACACCCACATGCATGCACGCCCACATGCATGCACGCCCACATGCATGCACGCCCACATGCATGCACGCCCACATGCATGCACACCCACAAGCATGAGCCCACATGCACACACACAAGCACGCATACATACCCACATGTACCCAAACGCATGCATCCATATGCACATGCACGCGCTCACACACAAATGCATGCAAGAAAAAGGAGCACGAGATTTATCGGCCCACCGCAATCCGAACGTGCCTCGTGCATCGGGTGTGCATCGGGTGTGCCCTTGACCCCAAGCATCATCGGGTGTGCCCTTGACCCCAAGCAGCATCGGGTGTGCCCTTGACCCCAAGCATCCACCACTTTCTATCTCTCTCCCACATTTCCTCCCACGTGCTTCCCTCCCTCTGCCTCGCATTTTCGCCTCGCCCGCCCGCCTCCCCCGCCCTCCCGCCTGCCCGGTCCGCCCGCCTCACCTGCCAAGCGGCGCAGCGCGTCGGCCATCTCCGCCAGGCCCAGCTGCACCGTCTCCAGCGCGCCCGCCACCTCCGCGGCCCACATCGCCGCCGCCGCTGCGCCGCCATCCCCATCCGGCCCCCCCTCCCCATCTCCGTGCGCAGAGGGATGCGGCGGCGTTTCGGGCTGCATGCTTGCGCACGTGCCTCCAAAAAGCTTGCTGGGCGGCGACGGGCGGGCGCGAAAACGAGCGACGATGGTCGATCGATAAAGTTGCGGCGTGAGCGCGGAGCGCGGAGGGGAGAAGCGCGCAGAAGGAGGTGCGGTGGGTGGGAGCGTCGCGCCCTTGACACGACAGCTCGCGGATGACGCTTCGGGTGGCGAACAATTCACTCCCGACGTGAGTTGAGGATCGACGCGGACGGCGCGTACGCCTGGTCTGCAGAGGTGCGCGCGCACGACTCTAGTCGGTACTTGGCGAGCATTACAGAGAGGTTGAGGCGTGCGGTGGAACACCAGCAGACCCCTTATCTACCGGTTTAGTACACCCAATTCTTTATTGAATTTTGTATTGGACCTACCTTAATACCCCGGATATAAGCGCACCTGCGCTTATAACAAAATAGTGTTTTTTGGGGGGTGCGCTTATAATTGAGTCAGATTTATAAGCGCATGCGCTTATATAATGACAAATACAAATATATCATTCATTAGCACCAAACTATACGTCTTCTTCTTGCGATTTCAATCGAATCGAAGTGGTAGCGAGTCACAATTCAGATTCGCGAGTGAGCGATTTTCTGCCCAGGGGCAAATTTACGCGTCACTATCAGAAATGCCAGCTCATACTGACTGGACGTGCAGTATGTGAGGTCCTCGAAAGTCAATAGAAGCGAAAATGGTTGTATCCTCACTGCAAAATTTGAAATCGCTACCATTTTAATCTGGTTTAAATTTTAAAATTATACATGCGCTTATAATAAATCAAGGTTTTACAGGGGGTGCACTTATAAATGAGGATAGGCCATAAGCGCATTGCTCCAGATACAAGCGTATGCGCTTATAATAGGCCTACGCTCATATCCGGGGCCATACGGTATCTTTTAAATTGTTATTGGTGCAATGGAACAAGATAGAAAGAGATTCCACTATGTTATCGCATAAAACTGAGTAACAAAGTGTGAGCCATGAGCAAACACTAATGTGCGAACATGCAAACCGTAACGCGATGCGTTCGAGCTAGCTGGTGTGATGCTGGCATCGAGGTTCGGACTAGTCTCATAGAGTAGGTCGACACGACCGGGACGGCGGTGCATGGTTTGATAAATAGTGCGTGAGAAGAAACGAGACTGATTGAACTATGAAACAGTTGGGTACAAGTACTAACCCTAATTGGGTTGTACCCCATATGGGCTACCCCACGATAGCCTACAGTAGCTATGTCATATAAATCTGACACACCCCCATAGGCAAAGTGGGGGAGAACAAGGGGTCACAAGACCGGTCAAGCAAAACAAAGCAAGCTCACGGTGGATCACAAAGTCACCACACATTCCGAGCACAAGTTCAAGGCCACAAGGCCAGTTCACATGCAGGAGTACATATATATAAAGAAAGCTAGACAAGCAGGAGCAGGTGTATGTATATGTAACAGTACAAACAAAGTCAAGAGGTGAGCAAGTGAGGCAAGACAGGCACAAGACCAAGCTGAGTACAGAAGCGCTGATGATCACAAGGCACAAGTGCCTTGGTGAAGATATCAGCAGTGTTGGCCTCAAAGGCCACGTACGCAAGACGCAGCTGACCACGCTGCTGCAGCTCTCGAGCAAGGAAGTAGCGAAGAGCAATGTGCTTCGTTCTGTGCTCCAGTCTCTGCTCTCGACACAAGGCCAGCATGGCCTTGTTGTCTACGTACAGCACTGGAGGAGAACGAGGCACCTCTCCAAAGTCAGTCAGCAGGTAGGTGAGCCAGCGGAGCTCCTGTGCAGCCATGGCCCCGGCGTAGATCTCAGCCTCACAACTGGAGCCGAGAACAGAAGACGAGCGGGTAGCCCGCCACGAAACAGAGCCGGAACCAAGGCTGAAGGTGTAACCCTGTGACGACCGCTGCGTAGCCTGGTCGTCGGCCCAAGAAGCGTCTGCGTGCCCAGTGAGGACCACTGGACTCCGCCCTCCAAGCACAAGCCCCATGCCCGACGTACTGCACAAGTAGCGCAACACCCTCATCGCTGCAGCCATGTGCTCCGGTCTGTGTCTCCCAGGAGCAACATAGCGTGCGAGAATGCTAAGAGGGTATGCAAGGTCAGGTCGAGTGCAGGTCATCAGGTACATGAGGCAGCCAACAAGCTCTGGGTACGGGCCACTCGACTCTACGGACTCATTCGAAGGCAGAGCTGAGAGCGAGTGGCGAGTAGGCAGAGGAGTGGCCTGAGGCGAAGAGTACGTGAAGCCAAAGCGCTGAAGGACCTACTGCACCATGTGTGACTGAGTCAGGGTAATGGTGCGGCGTGCTCTGTCCCGGGTGATCTGCAAGCCAAGGTAGCTGCGTAGTTCACCTAGGTCTGTGCACGTGTGTCTCTTCTGCAGCTCGGACTTCACGTGGGCGAGTCCAGCAGTGTCAGCAGTGGCAAAGACCAAGTCGTCGACGTACACGAGGATGTAGAACGGCGGTAAAGAAGTGTCAGTGCGCAGAAACAACGACTGGTCAGCAGTAGAGGGAGCAAACCCAAGAGCCGCAAGCGTAGTCCTCAGTGTGTCGTGCCACTCACGCGGTGCCTGACGGAGACCGTAGACTGGCCGCCGGAGGCTCCACTGGGTGCCATGAGGAAAAGTCCCAGTGAAGCCAGGTGGGCGGCGCAACCAGATCTCCTCGTGCAGGCTACCTTGCAAGAAAGCAGTGCTGAAGTCAAGAGAGTGAAGCTCGTAGTCGCGCTGAGCGGCTATGTGCAGCAGCACCCGAAGAGTGGTCATCTTCGGGGTGGGAGAGAAGGTCTGAAAGTAGTCAACTCCCTGCCGCTGACTGAAGCCACGAGCCACGTACCGCGCCTTGAAGACAGGCGGGGAACCCGGCGGCCGCTTCACCCTGAAAATCCACATGCCACTGACGATGTTCGCCCCAGGTGGGGGAACCTCGTCAACGTAGGTGCCTGTGGACTTCCAGGAAGCCATCTCTGCGTCCATAGCTGCCTGCCACTGAGAGGAGTAGGGACCCTTCTATCGCCTCCGCGTAAGAGCGCGGAGTCGGGATGTCAAGTGCATCCAGGTCTCCCTCAGGGGTAAGCAGTACGGACACGAGATGAGGTGAAGCAGCAGCCAGACACTGGAACTCCTCCTGCCTGTTCTCAAGGACGTCCGTGCCAAGGGCACACTCAACCCTGACGGACGGAGGACAGACAGACTCAGACTCAGTGACAAGACTAGCAGCGTAGTCTAGACGACAGCGAGCAGCAAAGTCGACGAGCTCAGCAACTAGGGCAGACGCAGCAGTGGAATCAAAAGAAGGGTCAGTGACGACAGTAGCAAGGAGACGCGTGACAGTAGGACTGGCAGCACGAAGAGAGACCGACTCCGGGTCGGCAAGAGCAGGAAGAGAAGAGTCAGGAGGAGAAGGCAACGGGGCACGTAGAGGAGAAGTGGACGGACGTAGAGACATCCGGTGCGTGCCAGGGACAGGAGGAGGACGCTCACGCGAACTACGACCACTAGCGCGAGTAGGACGGACAGGCGACGTAGGGCGAGACGCAGGCTTACGACGCTCAGCATGACCTCCAGTAGGTCCAGTGTAGGGAGAAGGAGCAGGCAGTGGGGAGGCTGGCTGTAACTGTAACTGCGACTGGACACGCTGTGGACTCTCTAAGGGGAGAGGAGGACCAGTAGAAGGCGAGAGACCAAGAACCTGCTGAAGGAGCGGATCGAAGAACGGCCGAGGCCGCGCGGCGACTCCAGACACAGCACGGACAGCACCAGCACCCCCAGCGGAAGCACCGGCTCCACCAGCACCTCCAGCTCTTGGAACTCCAACAGCACCGCCGCCAGGACCGACAGCAGTAGCCTCAGTGCCAACACCCTCAGGAGCTCCAGCTCCAGACGCACCCGCCGGCCCAGCAGCTCCAGTACCTCCAGTACGAGCACCTCCGGGACCGGCGGCACCAGCACCCTCAGCAGCCGAAGAAACTCCAGCTCCAGCAGAACGCCTCTAGCGTCGGCCAAACCACTCGCGCAGCTCCTGTGGAGAGAGCGGCTCCCGCCGAGACGAAGCACCCGGAGAACCTCCTGGCCCAGCACCGCCGGACGCCTCACAAGCAGGCCCAGCTCCCTCAGGCTCAGTACCTCCAGTTGTAGCACCCCCAGGCTCAGCACCCCCAGGCTCAACACCCCCAGGCTCAGCACCCCCAGGCTCAGCTCCCCCAGGCTCAGCACCCCCAGGCGTAGCACCCCCAGGCTCAGCACCCCCAGTCGCAGCACCCCCAGGCTCAGCACCCCCAGAGTCAGCACCCCCAGGCTCAGCACCGTCATCAGCACCAGAGTCACCAGTGACCTCGACAGGCTCAACCGCGTCTACCTGGGACACACCTGAAGGGGACGGACCCTGAGGGGGGAGGGGGTCTACCGGAGGGGGACCTGGTACAAGGAAGAGCGGTGGCGGGGGGAGGGACGGAGTGCCGTAGGGGAAGAGACGGTAGTAGGGGACCGACTCGTCGAACGTGACGTCCTGGGAGGATAGAACACAGCGAGAGGTGGGGTGGTAGAACTGCCACCGTGGCGCGTCAAGGGGGAAACCCAGGAAGACGCAACGAGCAGCACGAGGGGACAGCTTGTCCGCAGACAAGTCGCGGACAAACGCCCGAGATCCCCAGACACGGAACGCAGACGCATTGCCAACCCTCCCCGTTCACAGCATGGCTGCGGAGGTCTAAGGCCCGGAGACCCTGGGGTGAAGGTTGATCTGATGCGCCGCGTACCGAACCGCAAACGGCCACAGAAAATGGGGGGCAGCCGCATGCATCAAGGACGTACGAGCGACGTCCATGACCATGCCGATGCGGCGCTCAGCAATCCCATTTTGTTGTGGAAAGTCCGGAAGCGTGAAGGTCTGGCGGATGCCTCGTGCACGACAATAGGCTCGCAGAAGGCCAGAGGAGAACTCTCCGCCTCTGTCAGAGTGCAGACGCAGAACAGGAAAGTCCGAGCCGAAGCTCTGCCTGAGCTGGAGACGAGCTGCGCGGATCCAGTCGATCAACACCTCAGTGACATCACACTTGCTGCGCAAGGGGAAGACTGTGGTGTAACGCGAGTAGTCGTCAACCACCAACAGGAAGTAGCGCTCGTGACCCTGTCCACGGACGCGGGCCGGGCCCCACACGTCCATGTGAAGCGTCTGCATCGGGGCCTCTGTCGGAGGAAACAGGGAGGTGTGAGGGGCAGCTCGGTGCCGCCCCTCGACACAGGGGACACAGGTAGGGCCAGGCCCCGGAGGAAGGGGAGG